ACACACACAGACAGCCTCTCGACAATATGCGTTTTTGCTGGCTGTAGCAGCGCTAGAGCGCTGCTACAGCGCTACACAGCAAAAACGCATAAAAATATATTGGCACAGTGGGAGAATAACTGCTGGTAAGGGTTTTACCCCCTTGCTGGAACAACTAATCCTTCTACGATTCGTATTTTCGTCACTGGCTTTTGCCAGGTAGTAAACCCGACATCAGCTCGCTTTTGAGTAGTTCTAGAAAGCTACCACTCGGATTGCTTCCGAATTGCCTTCTCACAAAAAAGTGGGTTTTTTCAATGAAGTTGAAAAGGACATCCTTTCTGACCGATAATTTCTGGGGCAAAGGGTTCTGGCGTAGAAAAGTAACTCGACAAATAGTTCCCATGTTTCTTTGGACGTAAGATGAGTCAAGAAAAGGGGAGGAGTGGGAATATCCCTCCCTAATTTTCCTTTTTATTTGGGAAAAAACTTGAGCAGAAGTCAGGGCGCTCTTAACCGCGAAGAGAATCCTATGCCTGCACCAACTGTTTATGTGCTTGTAATTGATTCTTGAAGGGTATCGCACGTCCTGTCCGTGTTACGGTTCTTGTTGATGACAAGCCAAGTATGTCGATGGATGAATTGGTTGGAATAACCAATGCACTTTGCTATGCGCACGGCATTGTCACATCACCGATTTCACTTCCCCCACATCTCTATGCAGCAGCCGATCTTGCTAAACGAGGGCGTAACAACTTCAGGACTGAACAGTACGTTTCAGGATATAACAACCATTTTAAGGATTTAAAATTCAGGAAATCCAGAATAATATTCTCGTTCAGAAGCCTGGTAGCTTAGACAATTGTCTCGCTTTACAGCCCATTTACTCTTTGAAATTTCAGCAAGTAAAGTTGAATCGGTTTTAACATTGGGAAGTTTTCCCCTCAACATAGAGCATGAATTCGCTCCTATCAGAAGTTCTATCAGTGCTTCATGAATTTTCATGAATCTTCATGCTTCATAAATCTTCTATCAGAGCTTCATGAATTCTACCTTCCCCAAATTCGCTTCTATCAGAGGCTGAGGCACTCGGAAAATAGTCTGATTAGCAGCAAACGCTAACAGCGACTAGCTGCTGGCAAAGTCGTCAATGACTCTCTTTTTTGGGGGTTGCTTAATCAGGAGCAGTTAATATCGAAATGAGCGGATCCTGGAAGATTGGTTGCGCCATAATAATTATTATTACTACAGTTATAGTAATGACAATAATAAGAATAACAATAGAAACAATGGTAATAATTACAACAATAAAGTAACGATAATAATAATGACAATAGTAGTAATGTCAATAATAGCAATAGTAATAGTAGCCGTGGAGGCAGCAATAACAACAGCAATAATTAATAATGTTAGCAATAATAATAGTGATTATAATAATGGTAATGAAGGTAAAAATAATGATAATGGATCGCATTTAAGAATCATCAGTATTAATGATGATGCCTCGACGTCCAGTGGCGGTGAAGCACGTAAGCGCTTCGTCAATGACGGCTCGGAGGATTATTTCCCGAGAATGTCAGCGGAACTTGCAAATAAACTGCCGCACAAATTTTGGGCTTGAGCAGCAGCAGCGGAGTCGCGATTCACTGCATCACATATCACGTATTTGAGATCACATTTATTGCCGCCTGTAGCATATTTTGAATTTTAAAACTTCATGAGTTTGGAACACTTTTTTTGGAAACAATTTTCTTTTTTGTTTTTTTGGTTTTTTTTTTTGAATGTCTTTTCAATTTTTTGTTTTTTTTTCAATCTTTTCAACTTCTTTAGTTTTTTTCCAATTTTTTAAAATTTTTTTCATTTTTTTTAATTTTCGATTTCCCAGTTTCCTTGGTTTTTGTCAATGTAACTTTTTACCAATTTCATTGAACCTTTTTTTCAAATCATGATTTTCAGTTTGGAGAACCCGTTATTTTTCAGTTCTGCTGTGAGATCTTTTTACTGGATAATAAATTGTCAAGTTCCACTTTCATCGTTTTATATCGTGATTATTGCAATTTATCTTGATCCTAAATCGCAGTCATGAAAAATCGTATTTCCTGTTAATGTAATAATGTGAAATGTTGTAAATGTAATAATGTAATAGATCGCAATAATGTGAAAATTATTCCTTGAAAATGTCGTCGTTTTTCCTGCTGGCCTCATTTCAATAGTTCATCACTTATGCAGTATCGGAGTTTTGCTGGCTTTTCTTGTCTATTCGCAAAAGCTTTATTTTTTCACTGTGTATTTCAGCGAGCACTTTGGTTTCGCATTAATCTTAAACACTTGTTATAAGTTATTGGTTTTTTTATTAATGAACTTTTTTTTACGTTCATGTTTGGAATGCACCATAGTGAACGGGGATTTTTTGTCTTTCGTAGCCAAAAAGAAAAGGAGAAAAAATTCTGAAAAAAAAAATGAAAAAAAGAAAAATTCCCACCAATTCAGCTAATACGTACGCCTGGACATGCGCACCGACATGCTGAAGTTTACCGTGCCAACTTGGGAATCAACCAGAAAAGCGCAGTGGAGTGGAAGGGGAGTCGATTTCGAGGTGTTAAATCCGTCCTGCGCATGGACACGTCAGGTGTTAAACCGAAACACTTTTGTCATCACTCTTACTTGGTAATTGAGCAGCCAAGGAAGCAAAAATTTAACGAGAAAGCTAACGTAACTTGTATCCAATGACCAATAATTGACCAACGCACGAGCTGCCCGTGCAAAGATGCGTTTTTTGCATAGTTGTCCGCAGTTTTTGTCGCTACCGGCTCCTGTTTTTTCGGTAAATGCTTCTTGCTAAACAAATTAAGATTGGCCGCCAGGACTGTTAGGAAACATCCCCTTAAAATTTCAGCTTCCTAGCTTTCCAGGCTCCTGAGTTAGCAATTTACCCGAAAAAAATTTTGGCGGGCTCGTATGCGGGTTTGAGTTTGAGGGGGACGGTTTGAGTTCATTAACATCTACTTCGACGGGAAACATTTCCTTAAGTTTCTCAGATTCCCGAGTTATGAACTTATCCGAAAAAAATTTTGGCGGGTCCGTATGCGGGTACCATACTTATCCGAGGGATGGGTTTGAGCTCATTTAGACTTACGTAGACGAGGAACATCTCCTTAAAAATTCAGCTTTCTAGCTTTTCTGGTTCGCGAGTTGGCAGATTACCCGTGAAAAACTTTGGCAGGCTCTTACGTGAGTACCACATGGGTAAGACCGCCCATTTTGGGAATGGGAGCCCGCACGCGCATATAGATTAAGCCCCCAGTTCAGCCCGGTAGCTCTTGTAGGTCTCGAGATAAAAAATCGGTACAGACGCGCAGCGCACACGCAGACAACTTCTCGTCAATATGTGTTTTCCGCATTGCATAGCTGCAAAAAACGCATAAAAACTGGCTTTCATACACGCGAGAGTCTCGCTTAAGGCGAACTTGAGAATGAGTTTTGCCGACAGCATTTCCGCGCAAATTTCACGGTAAGCATGCATGCAGGAGGTTAAGATTTCATGCGGCTCATATTGTAAAACTACCATCCCGGTTAACGTCTCTCCCGCACAGGGGACACTGTCAACATAAGTGCCGATTTTAAATTGCAATGCAGCTTCCAAATCCCATTCGTATTCACTCTCTATCAGAAGTGCAGACAATCAGGAAAGAGCTCGAGGGGCAGCAAATGCTAGCAGCAACCACACTCTGGCGAGATTATCAATGTCCATCTCTTTCAAACATCGATTACAAGCAAGTTAATGCCTTTTGAAATATCTGTGCAAATTCTCAACATAGGGATTCCTTTTCACAATAAAAGATTTAGCTGGAACTGTGAACAGACAAGCAGCGAGGACCGCATCATTTCGGTGATCATATGTAACAGGGTTTCTAGGCCGGAATAGCAATCAGCAATGGGAATATCGTCTTCTTATAAAAATCCCATTGTCATGTACGCTCATTTTCAGCACCACAATTGGCCTTGTTAGTACGATGTTTGTAGTGTTGGTATAAGTCATCAAAATTAATTGATTTAGCTTTCAAATTAATATATTCACCGAATTATTCAAAAAACAAATTACATGTGGAAAAAGCTGTGCTCGCAATGTACTGATGGCTTGATTCATTACTCCCAATTACATTTTGAATTTTACTTAATTACAGCCTAAAGACATCCCGAGTTTTCCTCTCGGCAAAACTTCCCCTGCATCAGTGTTAAAATGTAGAACAAGGATTCCAATAACTATTGGAATGGGCACAGAAATTTCAGCCAAACTGAACGCGTCTTTGAGTGGCCACTACGCAAAATTTCCACTCAACATGTAAAGACAAAAAAAGAAAGTGCCAACTTGGGCCGAAAGACTTGGGCAGCAGATGAATTTTGTGCTATGCAAATATAGTCTCGGGCGCCACCGGTTGCGAAAGGAGCAGGATACATAAGATCCGCAGACAATAATTCGGACTGCCTCAGAACTTTTGATGCCGTAAGCAAGAAAGACGGAGGGAGCACTAATCTGGAGCATGCTGCTTAAAATCAGAAAACTTGGGACAGCTGCACTCAGCGGGAAG